CCAGACTGTGCCGATGCAGCTCCAGCAGTGCTGGGCTCCTGGCAGACCCTTGATGAGTTTTAGCTGAATGAAATTCTTTGTAGCTTATAACCTAACCATGACGCACGGACATGCTGTAGACGCACTGGTTGTTAACGCCGCACATAACATCTGCGAGCCTGTCCGATGCTCGTTTTTACAAATGCGTGTGAACCATCGAGTGGAAAGAGAGGAGGGCAGGGCGGGAGCAGGCGGAGAGCCTCGGGGTGAAGGGCCCCTCACAAGCTGATCCCCCATCCACTTACCCGCGTTGGGCCCTCAGGAAGGTGACTCGGCCTCTCCAGGCCTGTGTCCTGGTCTGCAAAGGGCCAGGGGGTGGCGAGGATTGAAGAGTGACCCACGCAGAGTGCTCCGAGCCCCTCCAGCAGCCTCCACAGCCCTTGCTGGCCGCCTCTGCCTGGTTCTCTCATCCTCTTCCCTTCCTAATCCCAGCTGAGTGTTTCCTGCTGGGGCCTGACCCAGCCTCCTCACACCCATCTGCGGCTGCTCAGAAGGAAGACCAGTGGCTTCTTTGCTTTCCCGGGTAATCAGTGACGGGCGGTTCAGGGACGGGGCTTGGGGCTGGCTCCTGCTGGCTGTGCGCCTCTGTCCATCTGGAACTTCAGCCTGGGGCCCGCTCGGCCTCTCACTTCTCCTCGTTAGTCCGTGGGGCTCAGGCAGCGGTTCTCTCTGCTCCCTCCTGGTCCTGACGCCCAGAGAGGGTGAAGGCCTTGCCACTACGCTGCACAGCAAGGCAGCGCCCTGAGGCCTGAACTCCTGCCTCTGAGACCAGGAGCTGGTTCTCTGCTGGGCTCTGAATGTTTCCTTTGTGGCTCAACAGATATTCCACCCGTGGCGACTCAAAACGCTCGCCCTGCTCCGTGCCATCCCAGACAGCGTGTAACCCGGAGACTGTCAGATGTGCTGCCGTATCCCGCCGCTGGGCCTGCTGGCTCCCATCCTCTCACCTGCCTCCGGCTTTTCTCTAGTGAGAGAGCCGATGGAAAACCACACCCCCAGGAGCTGGGGCGAGAGGAAGAAGGCTGATCTTCAGGTGGAGACGGGCAGGCGAGCCACCCTCCCCACCTGTGGAGGTGCCTGCATTCTGGGAGCTCAGCTGACAGGACCACCTCCATTGCCTGAACACATAATCCCTTCCGGAAAACTGGGTCCTTCGCTGACCCTGCCGCTGGGCTAGGGGAGCTAAACCGCCTTTGTGCCCAGCCCAGCCCCTGGCGTGATGGGTTTGGAGAAAGAGCTGGGGGGGAGAGAAGAGAGAGGGAAGGGAGAGGGAGGGGAGAGAAGAGAGAGGGAAGGGAGAGGGAAGGGGGAGAGGGCAGCAGGGCCCAGCGTGTCTGGGAAGGGAGCATGGCTGGAGGTAGGGAGGGTCTGGAGGCCAGCCCCCTGATTGTTCAGGGCAGGGGGCCTATGGAAAGGCCCGTGGGGGGTGCACAGGGGCTGAAGAGGTGGGCACATGGGACAGCTACATTTTCCCATGCACGGTGCCCTCTGAGCCAGGCACCGTGCATGGGAAAATGTAGTCTCAGTGCTGCCTCCACGCCTCCCTCCATCCATGCTGTGCCTGTGTTCACATCAGGAGGCCGTGCCCTGTGCCCTGAGGCCGTGGAAAGGACCAGCAGCTCTGCGGGGAGGGGTGCTAGGAGACGGCCTGGACCAGGGCCAGGAGGAGCCGAGCCGGAGCCGGAGCCGGAGGGAGGAGACCAGTCCGTGTCCCTCACTGGAAGGAGGAGTGTGTGCAGACAGCTGGGATGCGCAGCAGACAGCCCAGCTCAGGGGAGGGCCTGGGGCCGGGAGCTGCTGGCTGAGGGAGGGCACATGGGGTGAGCCGATGGGGAGCCGAGCTCAGGTATAAGGGGGGAGGTGCTGTGCCCCCACTTCCCTTTGGGCTTCTGCTGTTTAATTGTTTAATTGAGTAATTTCTGGCCCCAGGGCAACTCGGAGAGGCTCTGCCTTGCACTAGAGATGCCGTTCAGTTGCCTTAGGATGCTGCTTGGGGTTGTTCCTCCCGAATTTCCTCCAGGGGCCCCGCTGTACGCTGCCCGCCGCGGGAGCCTGTGTTGTTTTCTCGGCCGCCTGAGTCCCTGAGGTTCCCAGCAGAGCACCCCTCCCTGCAGGCCCGGGCCAGGCCTGGGGAGACTCAAGGGCTCCAGGGCTGCCATTTGCCCCCCCCCCCCCCCAGTGCCCTCCTCCCCAGAACACAGACTCACTCTGGGGCAGCACCTGAGATGCCACGCAGTTCCTCCCAATGGCAGTTCCTCATGAGAACCGAGAGGCTCCCTTTAGACCTGGGGGTGAAAGCACAGGCTCGAGGCACTTGTTCAGCCCACGGCTTCCGCCCTCCAGGAGGCACTGATCGGATAGAGACCCGGCACTGCTCTGCTGTCTCTGAAGCTTTCGTTTCCAAATGGCCACTCGGGCTACAAATCTGCCCTCCCCCCTTTTCCCTGCACATCATTCTTCCTTGAGACCGTGAGCCCTAAGCCCCTGTGAGTAAACACCGAGTGGCTGGATGATGATGATCTCAGATCGCCTAATAATCTGGCCACTCAGAGTGTGTGTGTGTGTGTGTGTGTGTGTGTGTGTGTATGTATGTAGTAGTAGAGGCCCGGTGCATGAATTCATGTATGGGTGGGGTCCGACCAGGGTGAGGGGACATGGGTGGTTGGCTGGTCTGCCTTCTGGTCAAACTCCTGGTCGAGGGGGCAATTTGCATATTAGTCTTTTTATTATATAGGATATCCATCCATCCATCCACCCCTTCACTTATTTACCAGGTGCCTACTATGTGCCAGGCATGATACCAGCTCCTGCCTAGCACTCTGGCCTCATTGTTTACAACCAGTGACATCCCTGCCTGTCCAGAGCTTGCAGGAGAGAAAGAATTTTCCATGGCTGTGCTATATATAGACTGAAGTCCTCGTCCTTTAGGTTGTGGCTAACTGCCGTAACACACGATCCAATCTCCCTTTGACCTCCGTCCCCCACTGCCCACACTGCTGGCCAGGCCACGTCGGATTCTCACACTCCCGTGCCATAGCTGAAACGCGTCTGCCTCCCGTCTGCCTGGACGTCTCCTCGCCATCCTCAGAGATCCCGTCCTCATGCTCCCCCTCCTGCAAGACTTCCTGGACAATCTCACCATGGGATACCGCCCCCCGCCCCCCCCAGCCTTTTGGCCACATACATTTCTTGTTGCATGAATCATACTGCCTTGCCATGATTTGTATACACGTCTTTCTTTTCCCTTAAAGTCAAGGACAATGTTTTATTCATGTTTATGCCCTCTGCATCTGGCATATGTAGACACTGAATCAAAGTTTAAGTGCTTACTAGAAGGGGTGGCGAAGGATGCCATCCAGCTGGAAGCCAAAGCGGCTGGATTCTCTTCAAATTACTCCACCCAGCACGTGACCTCCCCGCACATCCTCCTGGGCTGCCCGCTGCCAAGGAGGGTCCAGTGGGTTAATGGAGGTGTTAGGGATTGAATTCTGCCCCTTCTCCCCCCATTCATACTTGGAAGTCTTAACCCTCAGCCCCTCAGGATATGGTTTTATTTGGAACGAGGGTGGTTGCAGATGTCATTCGTTAAGATGAACTCACACTGGAGTAGGGTGGGCCCCTGCCTCAGTAGGACAGCCATCTTTACAAACAGGAGAAACGTGGGCACAGACACACACACACGGAGAACATGCCTCGTGGGGACCAAGGATGAGATCAGGGTGACATTCTCCATGCCCTGGGATGCCAAGGACGGCCAGCAAGCTCCCCCCACCCCCAGAAGCCAGAGGGACAGACCCTTCCCTCACAGCCTCAGAGGGAACCAGCCCTGTTGATGCCCTGATCTTGAACTTGCAGTCTCCAGAACTGGGAGATAATACACTCCTGTTTTTAGGCCACTCCGTTTGTGGCATTGTATGACCACGCCCCCAGAAACTGCCACAGGAGAGAGAACCGTTTCCATGCCTTTGCCTGATCTAGCTTCCGACCCTGTAACTTGTAATTTTGAAGTGGTACTGAAATATATTCTATTTCAAGATATCAAAAAATGACTGGAACGTGTTATAAAAATACCTATCGGTGGCAAAGCTGAAGTATTGCTAAAATTTCAGTGACCTGCCGTGTACATCCACAGTCGAAGTCCATGCCAAATTTTGGCTAATGGTTAGTGCCAACGAAGATGTGCTATTCCCCCTGCCCCCCCCCCGCCCCCTGCTCAAGTTCATGGTCCCTGGTGAGAGCCTGTGCCTGGGAATCACCCGGGGGTCTTGTTAAAATGAAGATGCTGAGTGGGCCCGGGGCAGGCCCGCATCGCAGCTGAAGAGATCGCAGAGGACACGCCTGGCAGAGCTTCAGGGGACCTGCCGTCTCTTCAGGGCTCCGGCATGAAGGGCTGGGCCTCTGACCGGAACCCGGTGTCATCTCCAGGTACACGGTGCCAGAACCTAATGAGATGGACGCACACCCAACCAGAGTGGGAAAACCCCACACATGGGAACTGGTGTCAGAATCATGGGGTCCAGTCTTGTTCCGAAACACGACTGAGATGCAACACTTCACCATGTCACCTTGAACCTCATGCCCTGTGCCCTGAGCCCTGAGCCCCGTGCCCTGAGCCCTGTGCCCTGTGCCCTGTGCCCTGTGCCCTGTGCCCTGAGCCCTGAGCCCCATGCCCTGAACCCTGTGCCCTGTGCCCTGATCACCATTTTGCCCTGAGAAAACCACGGCTTGTGGAGCTTTGGTGACTTGCCCCAAGTAACACAGCTGACACGTGGCGGAGCTGAGCCTCAGACAGAGACCTCCGTGCACGAAGCCCGAGGCCAGGGGCCTGGCTTCGGGCTCCTTAAGAGGACTCTGTGTACCCAGGGAGCTGCCGAAAGACACGCTTAGGACCCAGAGTTTGAGCCATTGTCAAGAAAGTAAAACAGCTCGGAATGAACAAGAACTGGATGCATTTGGCCGTTTATAGAAAAGATCCACTCCCTCCGAGGCTGTGTGAATGCCTAATGAAGAGATTGGGACGTACCCAAACCCAGGAAGGTGACCAGGACTGAAAACGCCGCCAGAGGCTTTCGGCCCAATCGATAGTTCTTGAACGGCTGGAGAAAGGGGCCGGTCGCGGGCGGCCTGTGGTCGGCCTGGAGCCCGACAGGGGTGCTCAGAGGACAGAGCCACTCAGTGTGTCTCCAGCTCGGCCTGGAGAGAGAGAGACTGTGCTGCAGGCCAGGCACCGTCTCCTAATGCCATGACAGCACGTCCCCTCGCTCTGTCCCCGAAAAGAAGCCTTCAGCTGGTGAGCGTTCTGGGTTGGCTGGATACCAGGGAGGGGAGACCTGCAAGGAATCGTCACCCCTCTGACATTGGCCTTGGGTTTCTCCGTTTCTTAGATGTTGAATGACCGTGAGCCAGTCCTTCTGGAGCTTGGCCTCCAGTCCGGTTCTGGCCTTGGGTTCATGGGTGCCAGGTGAATTCTGTGACGGTTAAGCCGAAGCCTCTGGAGCTGGAGCATTTGCAGGCATGTTTACCAGTAGAAACCCAGCGTCTGCAACTGTGAGGCATCCCTAGTGCTCAGCGACCCTGCCTAGGTGCCCTGGGAGACCCCCAACATGCACACCGACTGCCTCCAGCCACATACCTGCAGGGTCCAGCGAGGGTCACAGGTCGCTTCAGGGATGCCCCACTGGGCACCCCCCTTCCCCCGGGAGCACAGGGGAGGGTGCTCTGGGTGCTCGGCACGCACAGGCCTGTTGGAAGGGAAGGATGCACAGGTACTCAGTGCCCCGAGGCAGGGGAAAGCAAGACAGGCTCTCGTCATGTTTCCTCCGCTCGCTCCTCTCCCAGGGGAGAGAAGGGAGCAGTGAGTGCCACAGAGGGAGCCAGGGCTTGGGGGCCGCGGGAGGCTCGGTAGACGCCAGAGGCTGCGTCTGGGCTCCTCCTGGGAGAAGTCACACGGTGGGGGCGGGTCCTCCAGCTCCACTCCAGGCATGACAGCTCCCTTTTGTCTCCCTCTTCCCTCTGGGGTTTGGGGAGCGATTGAGATAATTTACCAGTTAATGTGGGCAGATGGCTTAATTAAGCGAAATGGCAAGGCATTAGCAGCAGGCTGAGTGTGTCACTGACTCCGGGCCGCGGGACCCTGGGAGCTACCTGCCAGATGTGGCCCTGGCCTCCGCAGGGTGTCCTGCCGGGTCCCCAGGGGCCGGGGTGCAGGCGGCCTTTGGGGTGAGCCGCGTGGGAATTCAGGATCCTGACTCCGGAAGCGGGTTTCTCCCGCAGCCTCAGCCAGAGCAGCCTGAGCCGGCCCCCGCTCCCGCTAGGCCAAGGCCTCTGGCTTCCTGGGCAGTCAGTCCCCGGGTCTGGAGCTGGGCCCACCCCCGAGGCTGCTGGGTTCTGGGTGTGCAATCACCCGCCGGGGCTGGACGCCAAGCTCTGCCCTTGGGGAGTTCGTGGCGGGTGGGGATGCCAAACTCCCGGGCTTCCTGAGATCCTGGTCCTAAGCTGGACAATCGAGCTCACGGAGGCCTAGACAGGGAAGCCACTGACTCACCGTGAGCTGCAAAGAGGCGTGAACACCAGCTCCCCAGCTGCTGTGCATGTGTCACGTGCGTGCGTGTGTATGTGTGTGTGCGCCTATGGGGACGGCAATACGAAAAGCACAGCCTCTCTCATTCCTCCTCCCTCCTTCCAGCCCCCTTCCTCTCTTCCTCAGTGTATGGGGTCCCCGCCCCAAGGCTGTGCCCCCTCCCATCTCTGTGGCCGTGTCCAGGGGAGGGGTGGGGGCCCCCAGCAGGCAGCGGCGTCCAGGTTCCACCCGATCAGGCCCCGGAGGGTCTGCGCGTCATTTCCCGGGTGCATTCTGCTTGCACAGCTCATTAACCCAGCCTGCCAGCCGCTGGGGAGGAACCAACAGCAAACCGCCCTCCTCCCGTCCCCGCCCCCAAACACCTTAAAATGATTGCCTGGCCGGGAGCCAGGAGGCGGTGATGTTTTCCAAACCGCAAGGCGACGTTTCTTGGTTCATTAGCTTCATTATTTTGCTGGCCAGACGCCCTTTCGCCACGCCCACAGGGAGCCGAGCCTCGGACCAGGAGGCTGGGGCCCTGGCGCAGGGCTGCGGCTGTTCCGCTCACCGAGCCGCTAAGCGGGGAGGTGGGGTGAGGGGGGAGTCACCCGGCATCCTGGGCGGGGAACGTGGCACAGCCCCTCAGGGATCTGTGTGGACCATGGGGACAGGAGGGCAGCAGGGGGGGGAGGGCGGTAGGTAGAGGATGGATCTGTAAAGCAGGGTTGGCAGGGGTATCTGCACAGCCGTCCTGACCTCTAAGTCATTCCTCTCGCACCCTGGGGACAGTCCCAGAGTCAGGCGCTGATAAGCAAAGTCCTAAGCAGGCCAACACCCTGGTGCCCGGCCTCGGCTGTCCCCTGGCGCAGGCTGGGCAGAGAGGCAGACTGCCGTCTCCCCCGTCCGGTGGCCACCAAGCACAGCACCCAGACTCCTTCTCTTCCAACGGCTTGTGAACCCCAGCTTCGGAGGCACACTGGCCTGGGCGTGACACCGAGCTAAGTCACCCACTGGCTGAGCATCGGGGCCTGCAGTGAGCTTCTCTGGGCCTCCATGTCTGAGGAGTGGGGGGAACAGAGAGCCGGCCTATGGTGACCCACCGGCGGGTTCATGTTGATGAAGCTGTTAGGACCTGGCACTCCATAAACCATGGCTTCGGATGCCAAAAGCCCCCTCATCACCACAGGGGACCAGGAAACGGAGACTAAAACAGAACAGACGTGGGGAAGTCACCCGAGTACCAGATTCTTTCCCAGTTCCCATTCCCAGCCGTCGCTCCTCTTATTAAAATAATGGCAACCAGCCTTCCCCAGGCCCCTTTCGTCCCTGAGAGCGCAGCATACCAAATCACCTGTCCTCCCCCAGGGCGGCTTAGCCAGCTTAGACCAGAAGATAAGCCACGGGTCAGAGCCCATTCAGTCCGTGGGCAATGTGCACAGGAGGAAGATTACAAGCTGGGAGGCTCTTCATTCATTCGACAAACTTTTATTGAGCCCCCCCCCCCACCCCCCACACACCCCCCCCCCCCCCCCCCCCGTATCCTGGGAATAGACTAGTGAATGAATGGACCTTGTCCTTGCCCTCATGGAACTTGCAATCGAGGTGAGGGCCTCCTCCTCTTGCCTCTCCCAACTGCTGCCATGTTCACTTGAACAGTCAGAGACCGCGATGGCCAATTGGTTAACATTAGGATGCCTTCTCTGATCAATGAGGAAGGGGCAATGCTGTGGAGTAGCCATGCTCCAGTTCAATGGGGAAGAGGTCTGTGATTGATTAGTGATGTCTGCCAAGGGTGCAGAAGAGAAGCGGTCCCACGCTGAAAGTTTCCTTGCGTGACAAATCGTGGCCTAAAAGCTCATCCTGCATCCTGATAGCCCTTTTAGGACCGAATCCAAGTCTCCTTCTTGAGTCCTCAGCTCAGATGAAGGTGAGTCTTGCAGCTGGCAGACGTAAGTCCCAAAGGAGGAAAGAAATGGACAGTGAAGTAAGATCCCACTCCCGGGCACCTGACAGATGGGAACAGAGTTTGCCAGATAATGAGAGAAATCTGGCAGTGGGATGCGTCCAGAGACAAGTGACAACCTGGCCAACGGATGGACCAATGCCACCATGGCCTCTGTCCCCACTCCCATCAGGCTAAGTGGGAATGCCTCTCTCGATGACGAATGTTCTCCTCATGTTGGGGATGATACATAAGGTGACAACAGATGGCCCTGGGTCTTGGCTTGGAAGCTGAGCCCCAGAAGGGAGGGACAAAAGCAAGGCTCCATCCTAGTCCCCGAGACAGGTGCCTTGGGCCTTGCCATCAGAACTCAAGGGGTCCCCATTATGCATGCTCACATGGGTCTGTGCAAAAGGGCAGATACTCTTGTAGCTCCGAAGGGAACGTTGATCATGAACTCCAGGGTTTCTCAGCCTAGACACCCATGGACATTTTAAGGCAAATAAGTTTCCATTGCCAAAGGCAAAGTAGGGTGCACTGGAGGGTGTTCAGCAGCATCCCAGGACAGCAGTGGCAGTGCACACTGTGACAACAAGAACATCTCAGATGCTCTCACTGTCCCCTGGGGGGAAAGGCACCCTCCTGGTTGACAAGCAGACCCCAGTCATCTCAATGTATGGCCAAAGAAGCGGGGGTCCCGTGGGGTGACCTGGCCAGGGAACCTTGGCCTCGTGCTCTGGGGACCCTCCTCAGAGAGTCCTTCTGTCACGCCTCACACAGAGCCAGGGTCTTGCAAATATGCACCTAATGGGGTCGTGCAACTTCAAGGACTACAACCATCTAAAATACTCTTATTTATTTTAAAAAAAACCACACAACTTTTCTTGTTCTCCTTCAGTTGTAGTCAACATGTGTGCTTTATTGCTTTTAATCCTCACCAGAGGATAGTTTCACATTGATTTTTAGAGAGAGTAGAAGAGCAAGAGAAAGACAGAGAGGAACATCGATGTGAGAGAAACACATCGATGGGTTGCCTCCTGTAGGTACCCCAACCAGGGCCCTGGCTGAGGAGGAGCCTGCAACAGAGGTCTGTGCCCTTGACTGGAATCAAACCCGGGACCCTTCGGTCCTCAGGCTGGCTGGCGCTCAACCACTGAGCAAACCGGCTGGGGCTATCCAAAACCCTTGTAGGGTTAGTCTCCACTGACTCGCAGGGCCTGCTCCTCTACCTCTCCTGGGTGGGGCGGGCTGGGAGAACTGCCTGTTATCAACTCAGTTCCCTGCTTGTCAAGCTTCAGTTCGCCTTTGGCTTTGTGACATGAGGCATTGGGTCTGCGGGAGAAATGAAGCTGTTGGCGCTCTCAGGACACTTGTTTCACTCTCACATCTCTCTCTCTCTCTCTCTCTCTCTCTCTCTCTCTCTCTCGCTCTCTCTCGCTCTCTCTCTCTCCCTCCCTCCCTCCCTCCCTCTCTTCCTCCTTCCCTCTTCCTTTTTCTCTCTCTAAACATCAATAAAAATATTTTAAAAACAAAGGCTTAGACAAAACCGGTTTGGCTCAGTGGATAGAGCATGGACTGCAGACTGAAAGGTCCCAGGTTCGATTCCGGTCAAGGGTATGTACCTTGGTTGCAGGCACATCCCCAGTAGGGGGTGTGCAAGAAGCAGCTGATCGATGGTTCTCTCTCATCGATGTTTCTAGCTCTCTATCCCTCTCTCTTCCTCTCTGTAAAAAAATCAATAAAATATATTTTAAAAAACAAACAAACAAACAAACAAACAAAAACAAAGGCTTAGTCACAGTCCCAACCAACCAAGTGCTCATGTGTTTGTCTCCCTCACTGATCTCGTGGAAGAAGCTGTCTTCGTTCTCTGTTTCCTCAGCACTAAACCCAGGGTCAGGCTATGTTTGTACCAAATGCTCCTGGGATGAATGGAGGGGCCTGGGGAGGAAACACTGGCTCCTGGGACCCAGCCAAGCCCACAGAAGCCACGCCCTCGCCCGAACAGATGCCTGTCCTCCTGCAGCTCCCGGCTCGCTTCCCCAGGAAACTTACCCTGCGGTGACAGGAGCTTCCCCTTCCTCTCCTCCCTCTGCTCCATAATGATCTCTCACTCTGCCAAGCGATTGTCATGGGAACTGTAGAGACTTAGGCAGATATTGCCATAAGCTCCAGGGAGATCGGAGCGATCGTTGTTATAATACATGAAATCAGATTACGTGGAGATAAAGGCATTTCAGGACGGATTTACGGGATGCAGAGGACAGAAAAGCACTCATGTGAGCCGGAATGAAGGAGGCGGATGAAGTGCAGCCCGGTTTCTTAGAAATTGGATCTGGGGAGTCGGCCCTCTGAGGGCTCAAGGCGGGCACTCTCTCCCGTGCTCTTTCTCGGGGGCTCCACGGCGGCTCCTGTATTTGCAAGTGTGTGTGTCCTTCTCGCTTCTGCCTCCTGGGACTTGGGCCTGTCCACAGCTTTGGTTTGTGGGTGCGGTTCCCAACTCTCCACCACCTTTTGATCCTGATGGAGGTCTGGCCGCATAGAACTTACTAAAAATTCCTTAGCGGGTGAATCTGATTGGTCACTGAGACGCCAATAGATTCTTCAGCACTGAGAGGGCCTGATTCTGGTCCAGTTGGCTGTAGCCGGGGTCTCTTGGAATAAATATGGCTGTACTTTCAGTAGGCTTTATAGACTAAGACAGATGAGAGAGAGAGAAAGAATGATATATCTATATCTATATCTATATCTATATCTATATCTATATCTATATCTATATCTATATCTATCTATATCTATCGATATATCTCTCCAGGCATCCCAGAACAGAACAAAACTATGTTAGGTCCGTTTTGAAGTCATCCAAACCGTGGCAGGAAGAGGGAAACTATCCTTGTCACAGTGTTGATGAGCTCAAGGCATCATGGGTAATGATGGGTGGTTATGCCGTGTAAGCTCCGGGTCACTGTTAGCCTTTTATATGTAAGCGGATCCTCCTCCTCCTCCACCACAAGCTGCCTCTCTGAGTCACTCCCTGTATAGCTGTCGGCAAAGGGGAAGATTCCCGAATCATGTGATGGGACAGCCTTCTCCCCCACTCCGGAGCCTACCCCCTTCTGCCACAGCCGAAACCAGAAACAGCTC